TCAAGGTCCAGTGATTCTTGATCCTCTCTGGGACCTGAACTTGGTATTTTCTTTTTTAAAAAAATATTTACTTCTTTCTTTCTATGTATATGGATGTTTTGCCTGCCGGTATGGCTGTGTATGACGTCTGTGCAGTGCCAACCTCAGAGTGTCGGGTCCTCGAGGGCCCATGTTTCTCCCTCCAGGCAGTTCTTGGACAGACTCATGCAAGTGTCCACCTCCTTCCCAATTTCATCTGCCCCTATTTCTTGCGTTCACATCCCCTGTGATTCAGCTTTAGTTTGGAACTTTGGGTCAGAACAACAGATTGATCCAAGCTGTTTTAATGAGCCTCCGTCCCTCTTCCTCCCTGACCCACACTTGACTCCTCGGCTACTTGACCTTATAGGGTAATAGACATATGGCTTAGATACCTGATGACTGTAGTCACGGTAAAGCTAACTGAGCAACCAACTTCCTTGGTGGCGCTGGAAATGGCTAGACTTCCCCTCAGGCTTTGGTCACTTGGAGGTCAGAAATAAGGCTCATCTGGGCCAGGAGTAGGCCACTGTGGATAAATGTCACACTTACAACATCGAGTGCTCTGGCCAAAGGTTGTTTTGCTTGGTTGAATGGCAGTGTCTAAGATCATCACTTTATTTTCCATGGTTCCATATCCTTTTATTCAACTAACCACATCTAGAATATTCAGAGAGAAATTATGTATGTGCTGAATATGTACAGTCTTTTTTTCTTATCATACCCCCCCCCGTCAATAATACAGTATAGTAACTACTTATATAGTGCTCACATTGTAGGAAACATTATAACTGGTTTAAAGTATGTAAGAGGATTGTGTAGGTTCCATGCAAACACTACACTCCTTAAGGACTTGAGCATCTGAGGACTTTGATGGCTGTGAGGTCCTAAAGCCAGCCGACCACTAGCAAAGGAATGGTTGTACCTGTACCTAGCGATTGATGAATCAATGCTTCAATGCACTCAATTTTGTTTTACTTCCAGTCTGCTGCGTAGTCCTGAAGTTGCTTCAGTGACGTGAGATTAACATTTTCAGAATTATGTGTGCTTCCCCCAGGGAGAGCAACTGCCTATGCATGGATGTGGAAGGGGCAGAAAAGCCCCAGCAAATCAGAAGCGGCTCCTAGCAGGTAGCTCTCGGTGTGTGTAAGGACAGGAGGCAGAGTGTCTTTCATACAAAACACGTGCCACAAGGCCTCATCGTGGGAACAGGAGAGCCACCTAGGATGGGGAGGAGAGACTTTGCCCCCCCCCCCAAAAAAAACCAATGTGGTATGAGACACTACTAAGTCTCACGTCTAATTATCTAAACATTTAGGATCTGAGAACTTTTTAAGAGAGGCCAGTGGATTCAAACATGTCTGTTTTAGGGTTGTGACACAATAAAGGAAAACAAAACGTGATCACTGCAGGGCCCATCTTGGAAGAAACGTGTTTCAGGAAGAAACCCTTTGTCGGCCTAGCAAGATGCCCCAATGTGACATGCAGAACTGGCCAGGATCAGCTTGTGTGACACAGCCCTGTACCCCCAGACAGTCTGCTAGGTGTTATGGCAGAGTCCAAATGCAGCCGATGCTCCTGGTAGCCAGACAATGGATCTTCATTCTGCCATGACAGTTTTCATGGCCAGAGAGCCTTCTAGAGCGTGCTGACTTACCCTATTTTATCCTGACAAGACGTGGAGTCTTCTTCCTGTTTTGAAGGGAGCAGAGCCCAGAGAATGCATTTTCTTCTCCAAAGTCAGAATGGGTAGTCCGCATTGTGGCCAATGCACAAGCTCGGGCTTCTGTTACTTGTACCTTCATGTTGATTATTCTGTTCTTCAGGGTTGCTAATTAAATGATTTGAGTGTTGCAGATTTTTGTCTATTTTCCTGAGAGCCAGCATTAGACATCTCTGGACTATGTTAACCAGGGAATCTAATTAAAACCAAGCTAGTTCTAGAGGGCAGGACCGTAGAAACAAGGTAGCTAAAATGGAGTGCACACCTCTCTAAACCAGGGGTCTGCTGCAGGTTCTCAGCCTTTCTTCTGAATGGTTAATGTGTGGAAGTTTCTTCCTTTTTGCTTAGGAGAGGTACTGGCCCCTACAGATGAACACTGAAAAGAGTGCTAGGGGTTTGGGGGTTAAGGATTTATTCCTGGCTCTGCCACTAATTAGATAATGGCTCTAGGCAAGTCACATAACCTGGTTGGTTCTCAGTTTCCAGGTCTCTAAAATGGGGACATGGGTCCCACCTGCCTGCTCTCCTCACACGGCTGCAAAGATAACTGGAAACCCTCCTAGGGTTTATGTAGGTTCTGGCTTCAAGGCCTTGGGAAAATGGCATAATATATTCTGAGCCTCAGTTTTCCTATCTGTAAACTGCACAGTGTCTGCTGAGCTGCGTCAGGAAGAAGGGTGTAATGGGGTGGTATGGACAGTTTGCGGTGCAGTGGCCGAACAGTGTTCGTGTGGTTGAAGGAATGTGGCCCAGCTCAAATCTCAGATGCCAAACAGAATCTGCCTCTGGGTAGCCTCCCCCTTTCCCACGGCTGTTCCTCCACCATGGAGGCTCTCCTTCTCTAACGCAGGAGTCCTGACATGCCAGGGGCTTTGCCCATGAAGGTGCTCCTGTAATAGACGGCCTGTGATGATTGCTCCACCCAGCATGGCTGCTTTAGATGTTCCCGATGACTAGGTCATGTGTTGACCCTGCGGTCATCAGGAAGGGTGAGGGCCTAGTGCTGGAGCAGAATTCAGCATCTCCTACCTGGTTCTCATGACCCAGAGCTGTACCCTCCAGCCTTTCCCACGCCTAAAAGCTTGTGCGCCCTCAACACATCCCACCCTGATGAATTTAGAATGAAGATGCAAAATCTCCCCAAGGACAGGTTGCTAGAGGGTGAGACGGATGGGTACGGCGGTGGGATTCCTAAGAGCTGAAAGTCGGGGAGAGTGGAGGAAGAAAGGGTAGACGAGGAAAACAGAAAGGACAGAGAGGACAAGAAAGCCCAATTCCCTCACTCCACAATTTCGCACAGGATTCTGCTTGGCCCTCAGAGTGTTGTATGGTTCTTCCTGCAGTCTGGAATCCAGTGGGTAATCCATCCATCCAGGGATCTGTGTCTGCCAATGAGGTATGCTGTAAAGTCAAAGCAGGGCTTCTGCCTCAAATCCGTAAAGGGGTGAAAGGCACGTCAACATTCCTGGAATCCCCAAATAGTGATTTTCTGTTCAGATAACAAGAAGCTCAAAGCCAAAAAAAAAAAAAAAAAAAAAAAAAGGAAAGCAGCCCCTGGGTTTGGCAACCTCAAAAGGTAAGGTAGAACGAGCCAGCCTGGAGCTGATTAGATCAAGCCTTGAGAGCCACAAAACACATTGAACATCTTCTACAGAAATAAAAACAAACTTATCTCTTTATTATACAAGTAATATATGTTATTTATAGAAACACAAGAAAACACAGATAATTACTCAGTAGGCCAGGGCTGGGGGAGGGGAGCTCCCTAACTCTATTACTAGGCAGCTCTTAACAATCCCTAATGACTAAGTGCTTGGATTCTGGGGTTGCCTTGCCCAGGGCAGAGTTCAGTTCTCTATTTATCAGCTGGCAGCCACAGGTGAATTATTTAGCCTCTGAGAGCCTGTTTCTCTTCTGAAAATCTGGGATGCTAGTCATGTCTACTTTGCAGCAAGCTGTGAAGTTTAAAGATGCTAACACGGCACTGTCTAAAATCACAGCGGAACTCTAGCAAACAGTGTAACTGTGATGCTGTGACCATTGTAAGGATGGTTATTATTTACCGTATTTCTAGCTGTTTTTCTGCATAATAAAACAGAAAGTGTTCCGTGTGATGCATGCATTTTTCTGAGGACACAGTTGCCCTATGCTGTTGATAGGTTGTCTTTTCATAGAGGGATTGTCTTTTTTTTTTTTTAACTATTAAGCTAATGTTGATTGCTTATGGTGGGATGTGCCTGGTGCTAAAGGTTTCACACAAATGACCACATTAATTCCTCATAATAACTGTGAAGTGGGTACCAATGAGGGGATGCTAAGCACCTTCCTAGCTAAAGTGTGGAGTTAGCAAGCAGAGAATTAAGAATTCTGGCCCAGATGTTCTGACTTGCCTGTGTTAGTACTTGGCATGGACTCTGAATCTTCAGAACCTCCTGAAAGTGGTGGGTTTGGGTGAGAGCGTGTCTTTCTTCCATCCTGCAACAGAGAGGAAAATGAGCAAGAGTCAATTTGGTAGCACAGGCCAGCAGGGTTTGTATACACTGTACTGCCACACTTTGGCAGTGTGAACTGAGGTGTGTCCACTCCGTGATCTCCTGGTAGGCACACACTTTGGCAGCGTGAACTGAGGTGTGTCCACCCCGTGATCTCCTGGTAGGCACACACTTTGGCAGTGTGAACTGAGGTGTGTCCACCCTGTGATCTCCTGGTAGGCACACACTTTGGCAGTGTGAACTGAGGTGTGTCTGCCTCTTGCTCTCCTTGGGATTCACTGGCTTTTTTCAGTTTCTGCTATGACATCCCTCTCAGATCTGAAACAGGATTGAGTTCCAGGACCGGGCTTCATTTTTACAGACTGCATCTTGCCCGGAAAAAGAGAACCTTGTTCTCCAGGGCTTTTGCCAATACCATGTGTGCCATTGACCACGGTTTCTTCATCCTTCCCTTCCCATCATTGGATTTTGACCCTGTCCCCAAGGTCTGTTCATTAATTTAATCAAAAAGTCTTCACTGAAACCCTACCAACATGAAGCCCAGTTCCGGCCCCCATAGGAATGTAGGAGAAGGAAGCTGTTTGAGAAGATACCAGCACACACCAGTGCAGAGCCAATAGCAGAAAGCAGTGTGTTTGTCGTTCCAGAATGGGTCAGGGGGAGCACTGACTTTACAGTGGATGGGACATAAGTTTGACTGACTCCGCCAGGAGTGTGATGGGCTGGCAGGGATGTTCCGGGGACTAACCCCTTGTTTCTTCACCTAGGAGCAGCTCAGAGCTGAGGAAGGAGAAATCCCGAGATGCTGCAAGGTGTCGTCGCAGCAAGGAGACGGAGGTCTTCTATGAGCTGGCCCACGAGCTGCCCCTGCCTCCCAGTGTGAGCTCCCACCTGGACAAAGCCTCCATCATGCGGCTAGCCATCAGCTTCCTGCGAACACACAAGCTCCTGTCCTCAGGTGAGGCTGGCAGGTCCTGCCCGAGGCTGCCACATCCCTAGACCTTACTCACAGGCATATTGCTCTGCCAGTGTGCCCCCATAAAGGCCAACGATGGGCCTTTAGTTTACATCACTTTATCTGGGTGTGAGTTCGTGTGTGTTGGTGTATATGGGGTCAAAGGAGAACTTCTGGGAGCCCATTCTGTTCTGCTCTTCCATCTCTGGGTGCTAGAACTTACACCCAGATTGTCAGGCTTGGCAGCAAGGGCCTCTACCTACCGAGCCGTCTGGTAGCCCTGTTTCTGCATTCCAGCCATCCGCTCTCTGTCAGTGGTCGTAGTCTGAGTACACCCACAGAAAGAGGTCAGGGAGAGGCCCTAGCAGGAGTATGAGAGCAGACAACAAACAGCGTAGAGGCCCTGCTCTGCTCCGTCTGGCTGTGAGCCCTGTGCCCTCTGCGGGAAGCCTTTCACTCTTGTCTTCCAGCTGCATCTCCGGGACCTCTGCGAGGATGTACCATGCGGTCTCTTGGAACCTTGGTTTCTTTGCTTCTAACCTGGAATTATTCGTGCCTACTGCACGGGGTGTGGGAGGGGGCGTATAGGAACTAATGGAGACAGGGGCTTAGCTTCACTCCTTCCTGCTAGGATAGCCCCTTGGTTGATGACAGTCTCAGGCATCACTTATCCTCAGCCAGCCGATATAGTCTCCTTTCCCTAGAATCTCTCTGACAACAGTCCATAAAAAATATTTTTTTTCCCTTTCCCAGAGTCACATTCTTCAAAAACCATTTCCTGTTAGGCCCCACCAGGAAGAGGCAGCCTGGGATTTCCACTTTCAGATCCTATGTGCAATCTTGTTGAGTTTATCAGTCCTGTAAGGAAACCGGGCGGCATGTAGTGGTGTCTGTGGGCATGAATGAGCGAAGGAGGAACAGAGAATCTCTGGTTTATCTTCAGTTTTCCAAAGTGAGTGTGGCACTCTGGAGACGAACTCCTTCTGCCATCCTGGAACGACAAAGCTATTTTAGGAAAGATCCCCCCCGCACAGAGAGGATCCCGTGTAAAGCAGGGAAGTCAGACTGGTCTGTGCTATTCTGGGCCCTGTGTACAGGAAGGATATGTGGGAAAGACCTTTGGAGGGTGGAGGAGAGAATGACAGGGCCCAGAGGCTAAACCTGTGCAGTAAGGTCAGGGCGACTGTGCTGTCGCAGAAGCAAGCAGATCCTGGGGGGAAAGCAAGGGCAGACTGCAGGGCAGTAGTGAGCACACAGTTGCTGATGCAAATGGCAGAGGGAAGCGCGGGTTAAGACCCTGTAATGCCTGGACTGCCAAATAAAAGGCAGACTGCTGGAGAATCCATCCCAGGCCATGAACGTGCCCTTCTTATACAGAGGTTTGTCCTGTTGGAGACGTGAGAGAGACAGAGGTGATTTGTAGGATTCGCCAGGCAAAGATGTTGATGAGGGCCAGGGAGCCAGTGTCCAAGGGAAGCAGCTGGAGACTGGCCAGGACTAGCCACGAGCAGCGGGTGGACAGGAGGTTCTCAGAGCTGTCTGTGCCTTGCTCATGTAGCAGGAACACATTGTCTATGCTCGCCCACACAGATGCCTGGGTGTCTTCCTCACCGGTTGTGGGGTTGACTTGCTGAGGTCTCGGGTAGCGTAGCGTTGGATCTTCTGAGCAGATCTGTCTTCACATGGCCTGGTGCAACCCCTCCTACACTCCGTGTGCTCCATGAAGCCGCAGATGCAATGCCAGATACCACACATCCCAGCTCAGGAGCTCTGAGTGTTGACAAAGACTGCCTACCCTCTAGACAGCCCGAGCATGGACAGATCAGAGCTCTCGGCACATCAGTTCCAGGGCTCTCTGTCCCGAAGAAAGAGAAGTCAGAAAATGATTTTTTAAAAAAACTTTCTACTTTTGGTCATCTGGTCCTGGTGTCCTTGAAGGAGAAGTTCTCATAATGAGCACACTCAGGGAAGGAAGTGATGACTTAGCTCTTCCTTTCCTCTTCCATTTCTCAAAGGCTCCTACCGGGCATTCTCTGGACCAGTTGCAGAAACTGTTTTCAGAAGTAGAATGCAAAACAACCTTTTTCCTCCCCTGCCCTCCCATTTGTTTTAGTATATACACACACACTTTTGCAGTGGACGGAGGAGGATGCTAGGGTCTCGCTCTATGGCTTCCACCTCCTCACTCTGAGTCAGCATAGCTCATTCAACCCAAAGCTTACTTTTTTGGCTCAGCTAGCTGGCCAGCACACTCCCAGGTCTCCCTACATCTGCCCCTCAGCTCTGGGGTTGTAGGCACACAGCCAAGCTCAGCTTTTGCATGAACATCAGGGAGTCAAAGGCCAACCTTCATGCTTGTGAGCAAGTGTCTTTATATATTTCACCGCTTCCCCGGGGCCTTCTTTGTCTTGTCATTTGAAAGTATTGTTTTGTTTGGGTTTTTGTTTTTCTTGTATAGTTCTGGTTGCTCTGGAACTCACATTGTAGAGTGGCCTGACCTTGAACTGTCTCTGCCTACTGAGTGCTGGAATCAAAGGCGTGCACTGCCATGCCCAGCTAAATGATTGTTTTAAAATTTAACTTATTTGTGTGTGTGTGTGTGTGTGTGCGCGCGCGCGTGTGTGTGTGAAGATAACTTTTGTGGAAGTTGGCTCTCTCTCCCCACCATGGATTCTAGGGATCTAACTCACACTGCTGAACCATTTTGTCAACCCTGAGTCAGGATTTTATATTTCGCTTTGTTTTTTTCTACATTTTTCTAAAAGATTGCAGGATGTTCGAGCAGATATCCTTCTGCATTTGGAGTGTGGCTGTCATCTCTGGGCCTTAGTTTCTTTATAGCTTGGAGGGAATGATATTCACTTGCACCTCTGTTAGGTGATATGAAAGACCCTCATCTCTCGCCTGCTGTACACATTATAGCTTAGTAATAATTGCAAGAAAAAAAAGTGTTGATCTTTTGGAGAAAGGTAAAAGAAAAAACAGGGTGAAGCTAATGTCCTTGGACATTACATATACATTCCCAAGTCAAACTGCACACTCATTATCTCAGTAAGCTGAGGTTGTAGACCTCAGAATTCAAACGGCTAAAAACTACCAGGTTTGGCATTAACATTTCTTCTTTACTTAGTAACACACTTCCCTTTGATTTTCACAGTAGGCTGTTGTGTGTGGGAATGTTGGAGAGGAAGCCTTGACACTGAGAGATCCAGGCTGTGAGTCGGGCCGCAGTTGAGATCCGTATCGCAGGAAGCAAACTGGAACAATAGCTTTATGATGCTCTCTCCCATGCTGGGCTGAGGACAGAGCACATTCTGGCGGGAACATGAGTGGAAACATTACTTGATTGTCTTAAATGCTCTTTCAAGACAAGCCCTGCACTCTGGGCCTGAAGGAGAGCTTTAGACCACAGTAAATGTGCAACGGGCTTTTACTCTTAAAACCGCTGTGAGCCCTTTTCCCAGATTCATGCCTGGTGAAATTCAAATTCTCTTTATAATATAGAGTTGGAGATCAACTCAAAGCTGGGTTTCTAGAGATAAATGTCAGGTTTATTTTGGATTCCTGGCGTTTGCCTAGTGAGGGCACATAGTCTTCGCAGGAGGTGATGTCAGGAAAGACGTTAAAACTCAGGAGATGTGATTTTAAAGTTTTCAGCATGACCTTTCCGCTGGAAACATGGGACAAGGGGGACAAAACTATGGCAGTAGAAATGGTTTCCGTGTCCTCTATGTCTCATGGTCAGACCTAGTTCCCTGGTTTTCATCCCAATTGTTTTACTGTCCCTCCACCTCTACTCCAAAGCAAGGCCTTTTCTGTCCTGTTTGGAAGAGAGCCAGAAAGCTGATTCTTGCCAGGTTGTTACTGACTGAGACAGCCAGAAGCTCCTTCAAGAAATGCCAATCCTGTTCCCAATATTCTCTTAAAGCAAACAGCCTGATTAATCAGTGCGTATCAACTGATGTAGCCCCGCATAGCATTTTATGGAGGCTCACACGGAGAGGGAAGATAGGATGAGCAGATATGGAAAGAACAAGATAAAACTCTCCAATGGTGGACTTCTGGGGTACACTGGGAGTCCAGCAAGATCGGGTGAGATCTAGTTCCCCTGCCAAAAGTCTGAGATAGCCCAAGCCTGCCCACAGTCGGGTATAAGATACCATGTAGTAAGCGGCTCGCACTCAGTTCCTGTGGCTTTGTGTGGACTGGATTTGCTGTCAGTGTACCTGGGAGGGGAGAAACTGCCTAGGCAAAAGCTTTTGAAAGGAACGATCCTGCAGAGATGACTGAGCACCAAGCCCTCCTGGAGCAGGAAGCCTGTAGCTGACCTTGTTAGGAACAGGTCAAGCTGTCCCGGAGTTTATGGAAGAAGGAAGTGCTGAGACAAATAACACTGGTGGAGTAAGACCATAGCCAGCATCCTGGCCAGCATCACTGCTGGCACAGTTGGGCTTCAGAGACCCAGTCAGAAGCTGCCTGCTCTGCCACCTGCCAGTTTCCCCGAGACAGCCAGCTCCTGGTGTGCCACCCACCAACATGGGTGGTGCTGCCTTGAAGGAAGTGAGCAGTGCTCCGGAAAAGGTGCTCCAGAGCCTCCTCAGCGGCACATATCCTGGCTGGGGGAGTCATCAAAGACTGTTTACCAGGGCTATTTTTAGCATTAAAGAATCTTGTTGTGCTCCCTAGATGACCGTGCTCCTTCTCGGTGGAGGCGGCTGGTCTATATACCATCATCCTTCTTTGAGGTTTGAACCCTGGCAGGTCTTGGGAAGCAAGTGACCAGGAGGTGGAACCCAAAATAATGAAAGTGAGCACCTACTTTATTTTGTACCAATGGCTTACTCTCCATCATTGTCCCCAACAGGGGTTTAGACTCCTTTCAGCAGATGGCTTCCCTGGAAGTCTATTGATCCTGAAGGGGTGGGATTACTGGCATCCTTATGGTACCCCTAGTGCTCTGCAGAACAGCATGGAGTGTGTAAAGGGAGGCATTTCCTCCGGCCCAGAACAGACAGAGAATAAACTCGCAGTAACTGCGCCATGAGCACCTCTTTCCCTGTGCCCAGCACATGCCCAGTAGTATCTAGGGAAGCCTTGATGTGTTCGGTGGTAAGGACAGCAGTTTTCGGCCAAGATCTGACATGAGGTTCAGGGCGCGAGAGCGGGGATGTCTGCCTTCCTCCTCCAGGCTGGGAGTGACTTGGCTAAGTTCCTTCAGAGACTCTCAAGAGGATAAGCAGGTGCTGCAAGAGCAAATAGTTCCATTGGAGGAAGAGGCCACGCCCAGGCCTGGCCGCCCCTGTGTTCCAGGGAAGGGGCAGGGACTGCTGGTGTCCTTGATCCTGTAGCCCTGGTGACTTCAGTCTCAAGACTGTTTCTCTCCAAGGCCCCAGAGCACCTCCTTCCCTCCAAAGACAAGTCAACCCACCACTGTGGCCAAGCTCGCCACCTCCTGGAAGAAGGCAGACTGGACACCATGGAAAGCCGCTTGGCTGTGCTCGCTAGGCCTGTTAAAGACAGGAAACTTTAAGCAGAGTTGTTTTCTCTGGGCCTAGTTAACCAAAATAGGGTGTCTTGGGATTACTCCAGATTTTGAAGTCAGTGCTACCACTGGGATCAGAGAAACAGAAGAGCAAATCGCTCGTTACTGGGCTTCAGGGCTGTCTCTGCTTGTCTGGAGAAAAGTGGTCATCAAGTTAGTGTAACCCAAATGCAGCTTGCCCATCTATGCCCACTTCCTAGGTCAGGTACCCTGCCCAGAGGGGCTGGTTTTCTCTACACATGGGCTAGTAATTAACCTGGAGTCCAGACAGTCTGCAGCATGTGGTTGGTGGAGCAACAACTTTGATTGACACCTTCTGAAAATGATTTAAAAAAAAAAAGAGGAAGAAGAGAAAAGCACATTCTCAGCTCCCCTGGATTATGAAGGAAGCCGCAAGTAGACCCCTCTAGCTTCATCCTGGGTAGGGTGTAGTTTCTTTCAATTATTCTGCATGCTGTTCTCTGAGATGCCACCTCTGTGCCCCTTGGGTGGGAAGAGTGGGGTCCCTTCAGAACACCGGCTTTCTTTACTTGCACAGTCTGTAATACTGGGAGATGTACCTTCTGCCTCCAGGTGGGCGCTCTCAGTACTGGGAGGAAGCCTGACCCATGCATTTTGGAACAGCAGCCCAATCTCATCCAGACTGACAAGCCTCTCTTTCCATCCTAATGTGAACTCTGTCTCTTGAGCCTTCTCAACCCTGCTTCTTTGGAAGGCACACCTCTGACCACCGCAAACTAACTCTCCTCCACTGAGCCCCACAGCACTTGCTCTTTGTACCCCGACTTGGGTGCCCCACTGTATCACGTCCAAGTGTTTATTTAGCATTGTGAGGTATGTACTGTGAATTCTCCACCTTGGCTCTGAACAATTTGAGGGTCGTGGCAATGTCTTAGAGGGAGCCGATGGAGTAAAGAGTTCACAATTGTTGATACCAAGAAGATGGAAACCACTATTCCAGTTTTGCTGATGAGGACACTGGTGTTCAAACAGTTGTTACCCAGAGTCATCACCTAGTGGGAGACATATCTAGGAATAGATGCAATATTTGACTCCAAAGCCTACAAGAGGGTTGAACATAACCACTGCCTAGAGCCCCTGGGGCTTGCTAACTTCCTAGACTTCACAACCTTTGGCAAACAGCTTAACTCTTGCAAGTCTAGCTCTGTAAAATGAGAATAGGAATGGTTCCTATGTCATGAATCATTGTGATGCCTATGTTCAGTGCAGTGTCTGCCTGCGGTTATTGCTCCACATATATTAGCAGCTAAAATATCTCTAGTCTCTAGCAGCACCATGACTACTGATACCACAAGTACCATTACTACAATAACCACACTACCCCCAAATCACTATCAGTGTGTTCTGCGTGTTTCATCTAGTGCCCACTCATCAGGCATGTGACAGACACTTAGTTGGCAGTATGCATTTCCCAAGAAGTCCACCCTGTACCCCGGAGCCATGCCTGGCAGTCCTCTACCCCTTCAGTCGTGTCTGTTTGAACACCACACTCATGCACGTTGTCTGTCCCTCTCTTTCCAGTCTGTTCTGAGAATGAGTCTGAAGCTGAGGCTGACCAGCAGATGGATAACTTGTACCTGAAGGCCTTGGAGGGTTTCATTGCCGTGGTGACCCAAGACGGTGATATGATCTTCCTGTCGGAAAATATCAGCAAGTTCATGGGACTTACCCAGGTGACACCCTCCTCTGCCCCATTCAAAAGGGATCAATGTCTTCGTGTGGGGGATAGAAGCTAATGGGTGGTCCTGGCCACCATCTCCCTTGAGTTCTCCTTTCACATGCCCGTCCTGATGGTTACAGTTCTTGGGCCACAAGCCTTAGGAGCATGTTCCCAATGGCATGAGGCTTGACATTGCTTGTGGCCATCCTAGCTGATCTATTATAGCTAGACTAACATGGTGACCCTTATGAATCAAGTCCCTGTCACCAGCAATAGTGATCTGGTACATCTGTAAGTCCATGGACCTAACATTGGCCAGAGACTGTCAGTGACCATTCAATTCAATTTTCTCCCTGCCTCCAAATCTAGAAGTTATCCCAGCTTCCTTCTTGGAATCTGACCTCATTGTTAGGAGTGACTAATTCTGACCTTGCTTTTAAAACAGGTAGAACTAACAGGACACAGTATCTTTGACTTCACTCATCCTTGTGACCACGAGGAGATCCGTGAGAACCTGACTCTCAAAAATGGTAAAGTGTTCTTCTATGTTTATGTTCTTCTCGTGATCCCCACCCCCAAATCTACACGTATAGGCCAGATGGATTATGCTCTGGTACCAGGAAAACTGATATCCGTAAGTTCCAGTTGGACTAGCTCTTGGGTGGATATGCAGAGTTGAGATTATATGACCCAGGACTCAGAAAAGCTCTTGGTGGCCATACATGACACCTGATGTCATACTACCAGGGTACTCCTTCAGGTCAGGGTGCCATCGCTAGGAGATTTCATCACCTGAGATCAATTATCTCTGCCATGTGACGCCACCCAAACCAATAACTTCACCCATGCCAGGTTATTTATGGGAAATGCTACAGATGTCTTTTGTTATGTATCAAACCAACCAAAGCACAGGCTTGAGCAATCTCCCAAGTTCCTGTGGGTTCTGTGGGCGGGTCTCTTGCTTTATATGACATCAGCTGGGTTGCAGTCATGAGAGGCTGGACTAGGCTGGAGTGATCAAAATGGCTCACCTGTGGCTTGTAGCTAGGGCACAAGTGACCAGAGCTTACACTGTGGAGTGTCACGGTAGCCTGCTTTGTAAGGGGGCTCTAGAATAGCTGTCTTCCATGGCAGCTCAGGACCGTGTACTCCTCTTTCCCCTGCAAACTGCAATAGTAGAAGCGGACAGACCTTCCCAGGACTAAGTCCAGAAACCAGGCCATCATCACCTCTGCCCCTATTTTACTGGTGAATGCAAGGTTCAGGCCTACCTTGGCTGGGTGAGTGTCAGGAGACATGGCCCTTAGGATCACCACTAAAGACTAATATTACAGGAGTCATGAAGTGAATGGACCTGTGGCAATGAGACTGGGCCAGCAAAGTTTGGTGGAGAAGATTTTAAAGCTCTATTATTATACTGAACTCTGTGGGTATCTAGCCAGGGCCAGTAGGTATGAGGATCATACAGACAGAAGGCACTTGGTTCATCCCTAGGAACATTCCCAAAAAAGGCATGCATGGGGATCTTCAGAAGAATTAAAACTTTGGGGCTGGAGAGATGGCCCAGTGGTTAAGAGCACAGGCTGCTCCCCCAGAGGATCTGAGTGTGTCTCCCAGCTCCCATGTCCAGTGGCTCACAGCTGCCTGTAGCTCCAGCTCCAGGAGATCAAGTGGCCTCTTTTGGCCTCTGTGGGCACTTGCACAAATGTGCACACAAACACAAAGATAAAAGTACAGTAAAATCTTTCAAAACCAAACAGAGTCATAGCTATAGGTAGCAGCGGCACCCAGTGACTGCCAAGATCCTCTCCAAACTCGAGCACCTATCGCTGGTCTGGACAGACTGCTCATCAAGACATCCTCCTTCTCACCTCTCGCCTGTCACTACCATGGGGCGTGTGCTCATCCAACCTGAATAACAAAGGCAGGGATACCACACCTGCAAGGTTTTCTCATCACCATGCCTGCTGCAAAAGCCGGTGTTTGTTGGCTTACCTCTGCTGTTGGTACAGAGTGCTGTAATCTTCACTGAGGCTTACAGAGCTTTGTAGAATTATGGACTCCTCTCCTCCCTTTGCAGTGATGCCCAACCTCTCACCTGGATCACTGCTTGCTTGCTTTCTTGGGTTGTTTGTTTGTTTGTTTTGTTTTGTTTTTGAGACAGGGTTTCTCTGTGTATCTTGTATCTTTCGTGCCTGTCCTGGAACTAACTCTTGTAGACCAGGCTGGACTTGAACTCACATCTCACTCTGCATCCCTGAGTGCTGGGATTCAAGGCCCAGCTTGGATCACTGCTTTCTATCCAAAGGCCTAGCCCAGCTGGCTCCCAGAGTGCACAGGCTAAGGACCAACCATGAGTTTATTTAATGTCTTGTCTGTGCTGGTGAGAAATTCTAGGCTGTATAGAATGATTGGTTCTTTATGAGGAAGGGGCTGTCAATATAGCCTTTTCTTTCTCTCCCTCCTTCCCTGAGATAGGATCTTACAGAGTAGCCCAGGCTGGCCTCAAACCTGTAATACTCCCTCTCAAATCCTGAGATTACCCAACATACCTGGGTTTCATTATTACTTTCTTTTTAAACTTTTATTGATTCTTTGTGGATTTCACATCCCACTTATCTCCCCGCGACTCTCCCAATCAAAACCAAATTTAAAAGAAAAACCAAACAAAGAAACAAAACAAAACAAAAACAAAAATCTTGTCATAGAAGCTATAGTTTGGCCCTTTGAGACACACAGTTTCCGCTCTGGTCTGCTCATCTTTGCTCACAGGTGCTCAGAAGCACTTTCTAAGGGGCTGGCTCTCTCTGCTTTCCTGGAGAACTCCTGGCGCTGGGCTCTTGATCTCAGTTCAGTACTAACCGGAGTCTCGGTTTGACTCTGTGAGCTGTACTAAGTGGCTCACTCCTAGGCTGTTGGGTTTCTTTCTTTTTAAATCAATGGCAGACACGAGGCTGAGGTCAGAACTTTCTAGCTTTCATGGGTGCTGGCTCACAGCTAAGCGCCTTCTGCTCATTGATTCATGACTGGGATTTGGGATCAGTCAAACTCAGAGAATCAGCAAGTCCTCACTGAAGGTTTCAGTCTGCATAGACTCCATTCGTGATCTAAAAACAAAGGGTCAGGGTGGATTCCTGGAGGAAGAAAAGATCAGGAGACAGGCTGTGGAATGGTCTCTGGGGAGGTGTAAGGCCTTAAACGTTGTCCAGCAGACAGTTGGGAGCTAGTTCCTTTCTTCATTCCTAAGTCCTGGGGCTCCCCCCAGTACAGTTACATTCATCATATACAAACCCCCCTAAAACTAAAATTATAAGAAACATAATTTTGGGAGAAACAGTTTATCAGAACAACTTTCAATCTGTCACTTAGTGAGTTCCCGAAAGATATTTAAGGCCAGTTCAAGGATCTTGATTCTTTGGATACACAGCTCTTCCAAACTATGTCAGTCAAATAAATCAGGTTCCTCCGAGGTCTGGGTGCGGAAGTTGGCAGCTTCTCTTGGAAAGAGCGGTGTGGCTATCTGAAGGAAGGCTCTAGATTGCTCTGTGATGCTGGGCCCGGGAAGGCCCAGAATGGAGATGGCAGTCTTTAGACACACCTGGCCTTGTGTTTACCACTCTGCATAACAAGAAGCAGAAAAACTGGGCAGGCATTGGGGACTTGTACAAAGAAAGACTCTGTACGTTCTTTGTCTCCGTGATTTATTTAATCCTGGATGAAAGGTGATCTAATTGATCTTTGTCGAGAACATCTTTAAGATAGACTTGTCTACCCAGTTCCAGTTAAAAGAAGGGGTATGTGTGTGTGTGAGTGTGTGTGTGTGTGTGAGAGAGAGAGAGACAGAGAGAGAGAGACAGAGAGAGAATGTGTGAGAAAGAGAGAGAGAGTGTGTGTGTGTGCATGTGAGTGTGTATTTGTGAATGTGTGAGTGTATGTATAAGTATATGTGTGTGTTCATTTCCCTCCCCTCCTTGACACCTTAAGGAGAAAACTGATTCAAAACACAGTAGTCCCAGGATTCAGCTAGGATACAGATTGTTCACGTTCCTGAGAGATGGGTTAGGAAGAGCAGACAGGAATGTCCACAAAGGTTCTAACTGGAAAGACTTATGTCCTTGGAGTAACCATGGTCTCCCTTAACTAGAGGACCAGGCCTGCCTCATGCTGAGACTGGTCAGAGCCTTGCTACTCTCAGGTGACAAACCCCGAGTGCACTAAGTGACTGCATGCTGTGTGCAGTAGGTACCAAATGATGGGGCAGTGCCTGCCTTGGATGTTCCTAGTGATACAGTAACACAGGAGCTTCTACTCAGCCTTCCTCAGGCCCAGCACCTCTCTCTCCAACACAAACATCAAAGGCATCTGGTTTCTGCAGGAGAGCAGCTCTGCCTTCCAGCAGGCCCTCCATTCTGAGTCTCCACGGACCTGGTGTTAGCCATTGAGCCCTGAGTGGCCATAACTAGAAGTTTTGTAAAACGCTTCCTTGACATATTTCTGTCCTCTAGTTCTGACCATAATCCAGCCAGGATTTAGGGTGCAGCCGCTGAGGTACCATTAGTCTTTAGGCATGAATGACTTTGTGTCCATGGCAGTCGGCAACACTAAACTACAAGCTTCTAGGAAGCATGGCTACAAGTAGTCTGGAAACATTGTGATTTGAACTAATGCAACTGGTTCCCACACCCTTCCCCACTCAGGTTCTGGCTTTGGGAAGAAAAGCAAAGATATGTCTACCGAGCGCGACTTCTTCATGAGGATGAAATGCACAGTGACCAACAGAGGCCGGACTGTCAACCTCAAGTCAGCCACCTGGAAGGTGGGTCGTTAGCTGTGGGTTGGAGACTTCGGTATTCTGTAGCCTGGGAGCTGGGGGTGCCTAAAACCCTGGCCCGTCTTCAGCACGCTCAGACGTTTCTGCCTTCTGCTGCTTGTCCCCAGGTCTTGCACTGCACTGGACAAGTGAGAGTCTACAACAACTGCCCCCCTCACAGTAGCCTCTGTGGCTACAAGGAGCCCCTGCTGTCATGCCTCATCATCATGTGTGAGCCGATCCAGCACCCATCCCACATGGACATCCCCTTGGACAGTAAGACTTTCCTGAGCCGCCACAGCATGGACATGAAGTTCACCTACTGTGATGACAGGTACGGCCTTGAGAATGTGTGGCGTGAGCAGGGAGAGGGTGGGTCTTACCTGAGTGTCTCCATGTGTGAGAGTGAACCTACAGGGCACGGAAATTGGACCTGAGTGTCTTATCGCTGGATGCAGGTTTCTAGACTTATGTCGTTTTACCAGTCCTACTCAGAGGTTTCTAGCATCATAGTGTGAAGTCTCCCATTGACATAGCCTAAGGGTCTGTCTTTAGAGCTGTTCTGGTGTGATTGTTGTTATTATCATGGTATGTGCATATTTGTTCACTTATGTATCTAGTTCCAGGAGAAATTTTCAAGGGCAGTTTCTTGTCCCATATGACAAGAGTCTAGAAGAAATTATCTAAGTATTCTGATTCAAAGGCTAACCAGAAGTGTAGGGTTCTGGCCTGAATACTGACCCACATTAGTTGACTTTCTCCAGTTCTTTTCCGTGACTGACAGGTTTCACTCAGCCTTTACCCCTGCTATGTACAGACTCATTCTAAACAGCTAGCTATCTTGTGAAGACTTTAAGTAAAGTGAGCTAGGATGAGCTCTAGTCCCTTATTTGAAGGCAACTGGACATTCTCTTGGGGGACCCAGAAGTGATAAATAGTGTAGATTTGGACTAGACAGCCTAGGCCCTGATGTATTTATATATCATCAGTGTAAGCTCTTGTTCTCACCTTTATTAAAGTTGGGAGACACTGAAGACTGCACAAGGAAGGCAGTTTCTTACCCCATCCTGTCCTGCTCCTGGGATCTAGATGTGAAGGCAAAAGACAGAACAGATTGCGGTGAGCAGTGGCTTGCACCAGGGGAAGGAAAGCCCAGTGAGTGACTGGGCTTGGTTATACCTAGCCTGAGTAAATGGCACCACCATGCCCGACTGCCTTACCCAGCAAGACCTCAACTCTGTAGTGCCCCAAGTCAACTTTGTGTTACCTGAAACTCTAGGTCACTCCTTCTGAAGTGAATGGTTTGTTCTTGGTGTATTTCATGGGGTCATTGTGAGAACTGGGTCACTCCTACCGAAGTGAACAATGTGTTCTTGATATATTTCATAGGGTCACTGTGAGAAGAGTCAAGAGAAGCAAAGTGCTATTCCATAGCGTGAGGAGGCTGAGTCTCAGCTCACACCCATCCCTGGCCTCCCCAAAGCAAAGATTTTTTTCCTGAGCTCAAGGCAATGAGTTTGCTTATGAAAGCCTGTGGCCCACACGAGCAAACCTGGTATTCTCATCAGGAGGCCTCCATGGCCCAAGACAGAAAAGGGGGAAGTGTTGTGGGAATTCATTCCAGCCTTAAGGTGTGGCTTCTGGTCTGTGGACGAGTGATGTCTTTAAAAGAGAGAGAAAAGTCGCGTGCTCTCTTGGGTTATGGAGCTGGAGTAAGGCTGAGTGAAGCGGCATATTCTCCAGCTATGGCTGAATGGATTCACACAACACCGGAAGTTTCTACCAGTCTCAGGCCCAGCTCCTCTCTTTCCCAGCTAGACATCTAAGGGCGTCTGAGTCTTACAGGGGAGCATTTCTGCTTTCTAGATTAAGCGTATATTCTTCACTCTGAGTCTAGATGGGCCTGCTCTTCATCTCGTGATTGGCTATCGCTTATAGCCCCATTTCAGAAGTGATGTAAAAGAATCCTTGCATATTCCTGGGTCCTCATTCTGACTACAACGGAGTTAGAACTCAAGGCAGTGGGAGGTAGTGTTTATTAAGTAAGTTTATTGTTAAGTGATTAGGAAAAGGCTACAACCTTAGAGGGAGGGAAAGCTGAACTCTGTCAGTACAGATGGTCATTTGAGTGTTGCCACTGCTGTTAGGGTGGTGGTCCCCGGAACCTGTTCAGGAGACGGTTGTGCATCACAATTATCCTAGCATCCACATGAGCATTCTGAGCAGAAGACAGCTCTCAGCAGTCTTTTCAGATACCCTGAGAAGTCCCAATGCCTGATGCGTGTCATCAGCTTTGAAATGACATGGGACCCTTATCCAGCCACCTGGAAGTGGCCAGGGCTGTGGGTAATGAACATTGAAGTCGTCTCTGAATAGATCTCAGCCATCACCAGGTTCATGAGCAGGGAAAGTCCTGCTGGCCTCAAATCACTTGCCACCTATAGATAACAGAAAAGATTTTAAAAAGGGAGCCCTCAGACATTGATTATTTATTTATTGGTTTTTCAAGACAGGGTTTCTCTGTAGCTTTGGTGCCTGTCCCAGAACTAGCTCTTGTAGACCAGGCTGGTCTCAAACTCCCAGAGATCCGCCTGCCTCTGCCTCCTGAGTGCTGGGATTAAAGGCGTGTGCCACCACCACCTGGTGACATTGATTATTTTTAAGATGAGGGAAGTATTCCATGGAAAGTTAGTTCGATGCTAATCTGTTCATTCACTATTGTGGTTTGAATGGGTTTCAGGTAAAAACGCTTGCCCTGGGTTAAAGGAAGGAGAGAATGTCACAAGAAATGGGCACCTAAAGGAACTGAAGATACCATGTACACAGAAAGGAGAGGGGCACAGTGGTAACTTCTTCAGTCTGGCTTAGGACGGACAAGCAGATCGCTTGAAGGATCCTATGATTTAGGGCCTCATGACTCATCGTGGAGAGAGATGCTGCTTATGATGTCTAAGGACACACTCTATTTCCGGCATAACCTTGCCTTTCAAGGAACCTGATGGCAAGGCCCTGGCCCAACACACACAATTCTGCTGTGCTGGAGAGACGACGGCAGGATGCAAACACAGAGTGCTGTGCCACATGGAGCGTTAACTGATTAGTGGATTAGGTAACCAGGGTACAGGCAAGACAGTTGACGAAGGGACTATTTTAAGTGTTTAATCCCTCAGTGTTACTTCTCCATTGCTTTGGGTTGGAGGAGGGGCTAGTTCTGTTCTCACTATGTTGAGATGGTGAGCAGTGTGTGTGTGAGAGAGTTGCTCCAAACCCAGCAGCTACACATGATGACCAGTGCAGGGCAGGGCTTCCCCCATTTTACCCAGAGACAAGAAAGGCAGGCAGCTTGAATCCACAGTCATATTTGAGGCAGTTTGGTACTTTCCTTTGATGGTGTCTGTGGTCTTCAGACATTTAATAAGAGAAAAGGGGGGGTCATAGAAAGGGAAGAGAGAGACAGCACAGGAGTCTCTAAATCACTTGCTGAACTCTCTGGTTCCCACAATTAGTCAATTTAAAAGAGCCAATTCTGATGCCCCTATGGTTCAAGACACATTTATGCTCCCTTAGGAGGGGGAGGGGCACTTGATATTCTCTGTTAATTATTTGAGACAGTAAATGCTTTAAAACCCTCCAATAACTTCTGCCAGTTATGTACAGACTAGTCATGACTGAGACATGATTGCTTATCTGAAAAGCTTGGAACCATGTTTCAGCTTTGAGAGTTTGAGAAAATTATTGTCTAGACTTTCCTAACTCAACCTGGAAATTCAAAATCCAAAGTGGTCTAGAACCCAAAACTTTTCAGATGTCATGTTGGGAGATGTGAGCATCTGCTTTTACAGGTGAAGGGTGTGCAATCTGTTTATGACTGACTGTTGTCACCCAGACAACAGGATGTAAGGTTGCTTAGCCAGGTCTCCAGCACCCACCCTCTCAAGGATGGCCTGTAGTTTGCAGCCATCCTCCTGCCCCAGCATCCTGAGTTTATTGTCAACATAACTGATGTTCTTCTCCTCTGTGCACGCAAATATAAGTTATTAGTCTGCTTCATAAAATACTAGGGAACTAATTCGTGTATCTAAATACTAGGGAACATCTGCCATGTGTCTAAACTATTATATCAAAGAAGGAAGAAATAATCGCTGGTAACTAAGAGTTCTGAGCCTGAGATACCAGCAGCCTAATGAAACCACAGTGAATTTATATTACAACACACAACATTCCACTCTTCCAAGTAAGACCAGTCATTTTCAAATCCCCTTAAAAGGGTTGGGTTTTTTAATTCATGTGGAGATGCCATCTAGTGGCCAAGTAAAATAACTGTGAAGAAAGCCATTCATCAAGACTAGAGGTTTTCTTGGAAAAATCACGTGTAGACCCTGTGTGATTTTTTTTTGGTGAGTCTTCCTGTGTACTGGTTTGTTTTGTGTATCAACTTGACACAAGCTAGAGTCATCAGAGAGGAAGGAGCCTCAGTTGAGGAACTGCCTCCTTGAGATCCAGCTGTAAGGCATTTCTCAATTAGTGATTGAACACCATGGTGGATGGTGCCATACCTGGGCTGCTGGTTCTCAGTTCTATAAGAAAGCAGGCTGAGCAAGCTATGGGAAGCAAACCAGTAAGCAGCACCCCTCTTGGCCTCTGCATCAGTTCCTGCCTCTGGGATCTTTCCCTGTTTGAGTTCCTGTCCTGACTTTCTTCAGCAATGCTAGAGCATAAGCCAAATAAACCCTTTCCTCCCCAACTTGCTTTTCAGTCATAGTGTTTTTCACAGCAATAGAAACCCTGGACAGATATATGAAACCTTGGAAAGATATATGAAAATTATAGTAAGCATTTGAAACTAATGAATACAACCATTTGGTCTTTACAGGCAAGGAATTTGAGAGCAACCCCGTTTTGTGAAAACAATATAGGACATAACCAGGAGTTAGCTTAGCGAGTTAGGAAGACTTTATGGTAAGGGGCTGAAGTGATGGTTCAGTAGTTAAGGGTGCGTATGGCTCTTGCAGAGAACCTAAATGTTAGGTCTGTCTGTTTGTCCCTATCCCAAACTCCCCCACCCAGACACACATATAATTACAGCTACTTCTAACTCTACTTACAAGGGAATCCAACCTCTGGCACCTGTACTCACATGTATACATACATGCATACACACACAGTTAAAATAAACCTTTGGAGGAAAGATTTGTGGTGAATTCATTTTATTCAAAGAGCTTAGGAGCAATAAGAATGAAGTAAGAAAAGAGATGAGGCTCAGGGAGAGAAGCTGGTGAGATGGCTCAGCCAAGAGGCATCTGTTGCCAAGCCTGAGAGCCTGAGTTTGATCCC